CACTTTTCCATGAATTTATTTTTCTAATTACTCTACCTTGGTATTGTACTGCGTAGGCTTTCAGAAAATTAATGCCTTGTTCAGAAATTAGAGTTTCCAGCTCGAATACATTTTTGAGTAAAACTCATGCATCACTGCAACCAAAACGGCAGTTGATTATGTCGAGAAGGTATGAAACGAAATTGATGAAACTTGATCAATGTGATACTCTTAGCGAACGTTTTAATAACTGCTAGTGACATCTACTTGCGCTGGAACATACGTACTGCATTTAACTTGTGAAGGACAAGGTAGATAGAATAAGCGAAATAATTATGCATGTCTCGCTGTAGATTACCTTCTTTGATCCATAACATGATTTTTTGCTCATTTTTTCTTGAGTATCCCCTTTGATGAATCAATTCAGGGTTCGACTGATGAATGAATGATTTCTACAGACATGCAGTGGTCGTTGGGGCTGGTTACATCGCTGTTGAAATGGCGGGCATTTTGAAGTCCCTTGGTGCAGAAGTCAGTTTGGTCATACGATACGACAAAATCCTCCGCAGTTTTGATCAGATGCTGAGTGAGAAGGCGACTGAAAGCGTTGAGGAACTTGGGATTAACCTCATCAGACACGATACAGTGAGTATGCAGTTAACATCAGAGACATAGATGAAAATTAATCTCTTTTTTTTTTTGGTTTGGAAAGATGTTCGATGAAACTTTATTTCGGGTCTGTTTGAAAAATGACTCTCTAGGCTAGAGTCTAGATGGCAATGTTTTTTTCTTCACCAGAACGGGGATGCTAACATTTTGAATTTTTTTGTCAATCGGATCAGAATTTGTGAACTTAATTATTCGCTCAACGGACTTGACTTGCAAAACTCGAAAGTTTTTGCGAATAGAGGCTCTTTTCGTCCGTCATTTTTGCAAATCAAATGTCGTAAAGATCTTCGTCTGATTTTCTTCCAAAAATATTATTAAAAGTACAACGAATGTATGAAATGATATTTTCTGTTTTTCTTAAAAGGAAATTTCGAGTAGCCAAAATGCAATGCCCTTCAAAGAGTTCAAACCACTACTGTATTGAAAAAATTTGGAAGACTCACAGCGAGTCCCTGTTTGTTTGCTTAGAATTTTTCTGAAGTCCGGGCTGAATAAGTTCTGCTCACAATTCGACAGTCAGAGGCAACCTTCGCATTTGGATTGAGCAAAAATGTTCCCAAATCGAAAATGTTTTCATTGGAATGTTAGTTTAAATATGGGAAATTCCCATTACAATTTGTAAAATCTTCCAAGTTCGTTGCATGGGGTCTGCCTGCAAATTCATGGTGCTTTAAGCGAGTAAATTTTTTCGTCCTCGAAGTTGTGGCGCACACTTCAGACTCGATTTTTCTTTCAACGTCGATATCAAAATTTGGTGCAATTCTCAAGAACTTTTAGAACACGACTAAGCAAAAATTACATCTGCTATTCATCCAATCAACGAGGGAAGAGCGTAACCCAAGAAAACTCATTAAACCGGATTTCTGAATTTGGCAGGTGGAGAACGTTGAATGCGATGGAGCCGAGAAAGTTCTGACCATCACGACGAAAAACGGAAAGGTGCTCGAAGGGGTGGATTGCTTACTTTGGGCGATCGGTCGTGGCCCAGGAACCGAGAAACTTGGTTTGGAACACGTTCCTGGAATCAAGCTGGGCCCTAAAGGACACATCATTGTGAACGACTATCAGGAGACTGGGGAACCCGGTGTTTGTGCTCTTGGCGACGTTTGTGGCAGATGGGAACTGACTCCTGGTTTGTAAAGACATTTTTATTGCGCGACGATTTGGAACTATTGAAGATTATCCATTTATTTTTTGCAGTTGCGATTGCCGCGGGTCGCCAGTTGGCCCATCGACTTTTCGATAATAAGGCGCAGGCGAAGATTGATTATTGTGACATTCCGTCTGTCGTGTTTTCGCATCCTCCACTCGGTAAGAAAATGACTGATACCTCATTAAAAAAAATCGTGAGACACAATTTAATTTTTAATTCCTAGAAAAGTTGATCGCTAATTTTGAGGCATATTTTCACGGGTTTCACGATACAGTACTGTTTTCAGAAAAATGGTGGGCAGAGTGAACCAAAAATATACCAATTTCTTTCATCACTCACGAACCACAATGCATTTCAGTGACGAACTGTACGTGTAAATAAAGGTTCATCAGTTTTTTTCATCTTGAAAAATCATGGTAAGGAATTCCATGAAAGGGAATGTTACTTCGAACAAATTCGTAGACAGTGAAGTTTTTCGCCTTTCAAGTGTGGAAAGTCTTTTCCGTGAACCGAATGAACCGAGATCATAATTTAAATAAATAATATTTTACAGAAATATCTGTATTTTCAGTGAGTTAATAAATTTTCAATCTTTAAATCGTAATAAGCTTATCTAACACCTAAATTCCTGAGTTTGTTCAAATTTAGTGAACCTTCACTCCGCATGCAGAACCGAGACATCATTAATTATTAGAACCGTGATGATCGTGCGTGTCAAACTGAAAAACATATTTCTTTCATAATTTGTATAAATATTTTAGGTTAAAATTATTGATAGCTTCAAATTCGGGAATTTCTAACATGCAGGAAGTGTCGGCTTGACGGAAGAGGAAGCTGTGCGAAAGTACGGAGCAGAGAAAGTGAGGATTTATTCGGCATCTTTCACGTCAATGTATTACGCCGTGCTTGACCACAAGCCGAAGAATCATTTCAAGATGATTGTCCTGGGACCGGAGGAAAAGGTGATGACAGAATTTTTGTAGAGATGGACTCCAATTGTCTGAAACTTTCAATGATTTTCAGAATCATGTTCTTTCTAATGAGCGTTCTGGATGATTTTGTTGTTGTTTCCAATAGGTGATCGGATTGCATTTGTTTGGAATCAATTCGGACGAGATTTTGCAAGGCTTTGCTGTTGCTGTGAGAGCGGGTCTCACGAAGGCCGAATTTGACCGAACAGTCGCAATTCATCCAACTACTTCAGAAGAATTGGTTTTGATGCGAAATCCCACGCCTCCTACGGTTAAAGTGGACTGAATGCTGAAATCAGTTCGGGAAATTTCAAAGTTTATGGTACATTTATTCTTGGGATTTTGATTTTTTGGAACAAATATATTCAGCGATGAATGCTCGTGCTTTAGCCGAAATTATAGTTCAGTTCTGGAATTATTGTTTGGGCCGTGTAGCCTGATGGAACTTGAATGTTTTTGTCCCGCACAATTCGTCCGTGTTGGCATGAGTTGACTGTGAACGTGAACTGGTATATTTTTCATGGATGTAAACGTTTCCAGTGTGGGAGAAATCCCTTGATTTTTCTCATTCATTGATGGATGTTCGTCTCCAATTCGCTTGTTAATTTGAATTTTTTAAATCTTTTTCAAGGAATAATGGAAGTGGATGAAATAGCAGTTGATGAAGTAGTGCAAGACAGTGAGAATGGAGTCGACTCCGAACCCGCTTGGATTGAAGTGCCGGATATGTTTCAAACTGCAAAAGATCCCATTGTTCTGTTCGAAAGCTGGTTTGCTTCGAAGGATTTCACCAAGGGTGTCAAATGGTGAGCATTCCAAAGACTCTTCGATATGATCGCTCAATTTCATTTGTAGTACTGTATTGTAATTTACAATACTGTATTTCTGAAACTCTCCATCCTGTTTTTCAAGGTTCAGGCCCTGATTTAGTGACTTCAACTTAACCAACAACAAAAATATTTTCCTCATGTTTAACCTAATCGAAAAAGTATCTAAGCTAACCTAAATTGATATCCAACTAACTTATCTGACACATTGGAAACCTGACTAACTTTTACACAGCCTGAGCAGATTGACTAAGATTGAAGTTCCCCTTGCTGAAATCTTGATTGAACTAATAATAAACACCTAGGTAACCCGATCTAACTCCTGAATAATCTTGTCGAGCACCTAAAACATTTTTGGCTCCCATGAATCTAATCTAGCATCTAAATCACCCAACTTTAAACGTTACGAACCCATGCGTCACCTAACCTGAGCGAACAAACCTTAACCGAACCTAAATTATTTCAACGCAACTTAAAACAGTACCCAACGAATTGGCTAATTCAAGATGAAGCCTAACGAAACTTAGTCCAACTAATTAATGATTCATTCAATCAATGTTGCTTGACAAATGGTATTCATTGCTCATGAAAGCGAAATCAATGCTGGCTGGAGTTGAAACAGGCGAAGAGCGTACTGGTATTTTAATCTTAGTGCCATGAAAGTTCATCATCGCTTCCTGAACTTGTCGATACATTTCACTTCGCCGATGCTTAGTTTTTCTTTGAAAATCTGGAATTTTTTTCTGAGATCAGTATGCCCTAGAAATTCATTTTGATGGTGTTGAAGACGACTTTTTGTTTCCAGGTCTCCCGATGGATGGTGTTGTCTGGTTGGATCCGGTGATATGAAACTACGAATATTTGAACTTCCGCCAGCTTTGCATCCTGGTCAAGAATTATCCCTGTCTGGTTCGTCTTGGGGTTCTCCATTTTGTGAGATGGACGTTGGTGACGCTTTGTACGATTTCCAGTGGTTCCCGAACATGACCACCATCGATCCTGATAGTTATAAGTGAGTTGATTTTTGTGCATTTTATTTTGTTGCAATTTTTTTCTTCCAAAGCGTTGGGATTTCGAAGTGTTGTACTT